GGTTCATAAAGACAACCATAGTGTTCATCCATGTGTTCTCCTCCTGGCTGGCTAGCATGAAGATGACCATGGTGACCTTGGAAGCCACATATTAAAGATGGCAGAGACTCTTTCAGCCTGGATCCCTCAATGATCATGTGGAGGAGAGCTGTCCTCTAATGTGTTCTTCCACCTAGGACTGTTACGTGGGCAAGAAATGAATACCCACTGTGTCAAGTCATGACACATTTGGTTGCTGCAGCTTCAATGTTCCTGGCAAATATAGGAGGGCTATATCCACAGGCTTCCCAAAATTCACCTGTAACCCATGTAGGTATCTAGAATCATAGAGACCTGGGTTCATTTCACTGCTTTACCAGAGAAGTAATTTAGGCTCTTTAATCCTTATCTAGATCCATTTAAAGTGAGCTCTACCAGTAAAATGAACTAATAAATTATTTTGTGTCCTTAGAGTGTTTTGAGTTGTTTCTATCCCATATTACCAAAAAAGGCCTATCTACCACTACACCTGCAAAATTAAGAGTGGTACCCCAAAATGTTCAGCACAGGAGATTGAATAGTTTGGAGCAACAGAGCCCCAGATTGTATTTGGGCATCTCAGATTCTGGCCCTTAGGAGACTAAGTGGGTATGCCTGAGTGGTGATCTTCCCTCTATCAATCAACTCAGTCCTTATCTATTAACCTGTGGGAAGTCCCAGGAGAAAATCCATATCTCCGTTGTGTAGGCGTAGTCCCTGCATGGGTTTTGAAGGCAGTTTTGAAGTCGGATCTGTGTTCAAACCCTGCCTCTGACACTCTATAGTGCGGAAAGGAACTTAACATTCCAACCTCAGCTTCCCTATCTGCAAATGTGGCAGGAGATCCAGCTCCTAGAGTTGAGGTGAGGATCTCAAGGTAATCATGTACATCAAGTTTCGAGCAGGAGCGAGGAGGAAACCCTTAATGTTGCCCTTTGCAATTTCAAACACATGTAGAGAAATGGAAGAAGAGGAAGGAAATGATTAAAGGGATGGGAAATGGCTGGAACAAAGCTTTAAGGAGTGTCCTGCCGGGAGTTTCCGGCATCCCTTCTGTGCCCTATGCTGGTGCACAGAATGGCTCACCTCAAAGATGGCTCTAATCATATCAGCCCCTGCTGGAAACCCTCTGATGGCTGCTGCTGCTAAGATAAAAGCCAAATGCCTTAGCCTGGCACCTGCAGCCCCTACAGAAACCTCATTGATTCAGCTGGCCTCTGCAGTCTGTTCTAGGTGCCCAACATACCACAGTGGATCATAGATGGGCCTTGAGCTCTGTGGGTGCCACATTCCTGAATAAGGCCTGAGCTGTATGTGTTAGAAATGAATCTAACAGAATCAAAACTATAAAATCAACCCCCAATGCAGTATTTAGAGCTTCTAGTAACTTTCACTATTTGCTTTTCCTATATTTATCTAATATGTGGAGTTATAAATCCAAGTATGATTTACCTCCAGTTGGCCACAAGCCCCACCACTCCCTATCATGACCCTATGACCCAGCTTCTACTCTGTCATATGAGTGGGTGAGAGAGTTGTGTATAGTTTACTCTTCAATGAGGAAAAGAAACCCAGCACTTCTCTAAAGTCTCTTATTAATATTGAAGCACCAAAGCTTTATTTTTATCCTATTTATGTTCAGTTTGACAAATAATGCATGGATACATTCTTAATGAAAAAATTTCAAGCAATTTAGCAAAAGAAAGTTCCCCACAACTTTCTTCAACCCATCAATTCTCACTCAAGTTCCATTTTCCTCCTTAGAGGTAGACCTTTTGTTAGCTTGATGAGTGCCCTCCTGGACATTTTTCAGACATACATCTATGTGTGTGCAGAGAGGGAAAGAGGACTGTGTAATGCATATAGACCTAAGAGTTATTTCTTTTTTTAGAGATTGGTACAATTTTGTGTGTCCTTTTCTTCATCTTTTCTTTTTGATTTATCCTATGTGTTATAGTCTTTTCATGTCAGAACACTATGAAAAACATTATATTCTAACTATGTATAATATTTCATAATACAGATATATCATAATTAGTTTGGCTTAGAGGATCATAAATTTGGAGTCCAACAGCCACATAGGTATTTTGTTTGGGCAGAACCATATCTAGCTATTTTATCTTTTTTTTTTAAATTTTTAAAGATTCTATGTATTTATTTGAAAGAGAGAGAATGAGAGAGAGAATGTGTGAGGAGAAAGGGTCAGAGGGGACTTCAGGATCATGACCTGTGCTCAGGGCAGTCGCTTAACCAACTGAGTCACCCAGGTGCCCAATCTAGCTTTTTGAAATGCAAATAGCTTTAGGTAGAGTATGCAATCTCTAATTTCCACACAGGCCCCTCCATTCCCTATTATTTTACAGGCAGCCCACTTTAAACATTTTCATTACTTCCCTGGCCCCTATGGGTATTGGTGTGTTCAAACTCAGTATTTTAGCCATTCTTTTACTTGTGGATGTTTAAAGTTTTTTAGAAATGTATTGTTCTTGTGAACAATGCTGCACTGCATAGCCATATCTATGCCTCTTTCTGTGTGTGTCATCTCTCTAAGATATATGTAAGAATTGGGTTGGCACGAAGTAAGTGCGGAGTCACAAAAGTTAGAAGTTAGGAGAGACACACAGAATTAGGAGACACACACTCAGATTGTGCAGTAGAGAAAAATCCAAGTAGGTTGAGAACCATCTTGCCCTTGTGCTCAGTGAAGCAGGGAGAGGCATACTGTGTACGACCTGCAGCTGCTGGGTATTGTGCTGCCCTTCCATCTTCCCACTGGTTTTCAGCAGGGAGATGTGTATGTGTACAAGTGCACAAACATGCACGTGTGCACACACACACGTAAGATTGTGTAGCCCAGGCATCTGTGGTAAATTGCTTGGGAATCGGGTTTTCTCCTGGCCCCAGGTCTAGTAGGGCTCCAGAGCAGAGAGCAATAGCTGATATTCATCACACCTTGGAGTGTTTCTTCAGGGCTGGCCCCTGGATTCATGGTTTGGCAAGCCTCAGGCCATGGCTAATGGACTCTCCTGGCTGAGGTCAGTTTGAAGGCTGGCCTCCTGTTGAGGAGGGTAATGATGCGTGAAGCTGCCCAGTGGGCAGCAAGCTCTGTCTGAATTACTTCTGGGGCTAATGCTTAGGTGAGGGTTGGTCTCATACCTTGAGGTGAGCGTGGGAGAGGTTCTTCTGGGAGCTGGGCCAGCATGAGCTACAGGGACTGGTTAGCTAACTCAGAAAGACACAGATTCCTAAGCACTTTGCTGGAGTCACAACAGTGAGCTGGTATCGATCCATATCGTAGTCAGTGTGGGCTGCCTTAACAAAATATCCTAGCCAGGGTGGATTAAACAACAGAAATTTATTTGTCATAGTTCTGAAGACCGGAAGTCCAAGGTCAAGGTGCCAGCAGGGTTGGTGTCTGGTGAAGCTTGTCTCCTTGAGTTACAGATGGCCTCCTTTGTGTTCTATCCTCATGTACCCTTTCCTTGGTGCATAAGGTGGAGGGAGAGATGAAGCAAACGGAAAATATCTCTTTGACGTCTCTTCTGATAAAGACAGTGACCCCACCATGCGTAGCCCACCTTCATTACCTCATCTAAACTGAATTACTTCCCAAAGACCCCGTCCCAAAATTTCATCCCTTGGGGGTTAGAGCGTCATAAATTTTAAGGTGACACAGCAGTCTGGTAGGAAAATATGACTGAGGTTGCCCAAGTCAATCTTGGATGTAAGAATGGCAGTTGCAAGACAGAATGTTATCAGGAAAAAAAAAAAAGTCTTATCTGCCTCAGTGCATATTTTGAATGTATATGAATGATGACGTGTGGTGTCTAAGTAAAACACTTTTTTTCCTTAACCTACTGAGCCACCCAGGTGTCCCAAAATCTTTTTTTTTTCTTTTCTGTTACATAAACTAACCCATTTATTATAGGCTAGTAGTGTTTCGAGTGGTCTTTCAACTGGTCTTTCAACTCTTTCCGTCCTCTGATGGGGGACTTTATTGTGACAGCAGATGTGGTGTTGTAGGTCCAGGTACTGCCTGCTATGCTTTTCGTGTAGGAAACACAGTGCCAGATCCCCACAGCTTGTCTTTTTGTCTTGGTTTTGCCACAGAAGGAACCACTGAAACTTGGCATGCTGGCTTATTTCAATGTCTTCTTGAATATTTTCCTGAGGGAAGCACCGTTATGGGTCCTGTATTTACCGATGATTCCTTCTTTCTGTGTATAGCCATGTTGATGCAAACTAGGTATGAGCCCAGAGAGAGAAAATGGGCTGTGGGTAGGAGCCATAAAGTCTGTATGATGTTATCTTGGGCTTTAATTTAATTTCCCTACTTAATAATGTTCTGGGCTTGGAAGAATTAACTTTTCTAAACCCCATGTTCTCCTCTATGAAACGGGAATAATAAAAGTTATTCTGGGGTTTAAATGAGACAGTAAGTGTAAAGTTGGCACAATGCCTGGCACAACGCTTTGTTTCACAATGTTTTGAGGCATTTTGAACACAGAAAGCTACAGTTGCTGTAGTTTGTTGTTATACCTTCCACTAACACTGACTCGAAACTTTAAGGGGGAAAAAAAACCCTCAAAAATGTCTTCAATGCCTTTGCTTTTTCAGTGTTCATTTAATCATTATCAGTGCACGGGCATTGCACACAGCCCTCCCCCTTTTTTTTTTCCTGGCAAGATGGTTATAATGTGTTGAAAATATTAATTATCTTCTTCACCTTCTACACAGGCCTGGAAAAAACAAATCTTGTTGCTGTGCTTGGTAGAAGAAAAAGTATCTCTGTTTGCATGTGTGTGTCTGTCTGTCTATCTTTCTGTGCATCTGTGTGTGTGTATGTGTCTGTGTGTGTGTTGCACTCATTGTCCCCTTGGGCCATAACAAATTATTGATGCCAGTTCCTTTAGAAAGACAATTAATCCAATTACCTTCTTGTTGAATCAATACTAATGTCTTTTTTTTCCTTTAACTTTCAGGTTTTGACGAGCCTGGCTACCAGCAAAGCTGAGGTAGGAAATGTGGTTTTGCTGTCTCTTTGGAGGATATTTTGACGTGGTTTCCTTCTGTCATGCAGTGAAATGGGTGTCCTCGTTGTGATCTGCTCTGTGCAGTGTCCTGGTGGTTTGCATAGGACATCGTTAGTTGGCTGGTTTCGTCCTGCTGTTTGGGGCTGATGATCAGGTGCACACTGAGTAGCCTGGTAAAGGTGGTTGGTGGTTTCAAAGCCAGATGTCCTGTTTGCTTCTGTCCTGGTGACTTCAAACTCTGTCAGTATATATATACATTATGATTCCAACTTCACTAAGATAAGATACTAAGCAGTGAGACCTCCATCTGTTTTATGCCCTTCTTCCATCTCCTCCGTCCTCTTCCTTACCCTCCTTGTCCTCTGGGGCATGAAGAGAACTGTGGCTGAGGCTGGTTAAGGATAAAAAAGACATGGGTCAGAGGTCATTAGCAAGGTGACCATCATTGGGAATTGTATGTTATGTTCTTTAATGAATATTTACAAAATATTTCCAGTGTCATGGGGGAGTTGCAGTCCCAATCCCAAGTTATTATGTGGATAGAACAAGAAACATGAACTCTGGACTCAAGAGCCTGGGTTCGTTGCGGCATTGTGCATCACTGTCACTGCCGAGACTCACTTTCCTCCTGTGCCCAGTGAGGATAATGACATCTCCTTCGGCTCTATCACACAGGTGTGGAGGCAGATTCTGGCAGGTCTCTACAAAATATAAGGGGACAACATTATTCAAGGGTGGAAACTCCAGTTGAGTGTCTATATCCTTGGATATGATGGCTTGGTGTGCAAAAGTTTTCCAGGAACTTTGATGCATTACTAGTGTAAATGTTACTTTGAAATGCCTAGTGAGGCAAGAATTTGGGAAGCAGATCAATGGGAAGGGGAAGGGGGTGGAAAGCAGAAGGATGGGGTAGAGTGAAAAAGCCACTAAATTCACTTGCTTCCCATGATCTTGTGACCAGTGACTTGAGGTAGTCATGTATCTCCCCAAATTTAATTTCCTCATTTTCAGAATGAGAATGACAATGCAGATCACATGAAGTTGTTGAGAGAATTAAAATGGCAATGGCAGTGTTTACTCTTCTAGTCTGCTGTAACTAGAATACCAGTTTTCATGTATTCATCATGAATACCCCATTTACTATGTAGGGCTCTACATATACCATCTTATTTTTTTATTTTTAAAGATTTTATTTATTTATTTGACAGACCGAGATCACAAGTAGGCAGAGAGGCAGGCAGAGAGATGGGGGGGAGCAGGCTTCCTGCTGAGCAGAGAGCCTGATGCAGGGCTTGATCCCAGGACCCTGGGATCATGACCCAAGCTAAAGGCAGAGGCTTTAACCCACTGAGCCACTCAGGCACCCCCATGTACCATCTTATAAAAATCCTCACAAAGGGGCGCCTGGGTGGATCAGTGGGTTAAAGCCTCTGCCTTCGGCTCAGGTCATGATCTCAGGGTCCTGAGATCGAGCCCCACATCGGACTCTCTGCTCAGCGGGGAGCCTGCTTCCTCTTCTCTTTCTGCCTGCCTCTCTGCTTACTTGTGATCTCTCTCTGTCAAATAAATAAATCTTTAAAAAAATCCTTACAGAAATGTTGTGATATATACACAGTTATAATCCTCCTTTTCAGAAGAATAAACTGAGCCTCAGAAAGACTCAGTAACTTTCCTAGAGCCATTCAACTAGTGAATGATGAAGCCAGGTTTCAAGGTAGGGTGCAAAGTATTGGCTCTTAACTGCCATGCCATGTGTCTTCTTTCAGGCTGCTATAAGAACATCACATAGACTGAATAGTTTAAAAAATAGAAACTTATTTCTCACAGTTAGGAAGGTTGGGAAATCCAGGGTCAAGGCTCTGGCAGATCTGATATCTGGTGAGGACTCTTTCTGGTTTGCAAGATAGCCATCTTCTCCTTGTATCCTTGTGTGGCAAGAGAGCAGAGAGAGGACAAGCTCTTCTTTCTTTGCTTATAAGGGCACAAACCCCATTCATGAGGGCTTCACCCTCATAATCTAATCACAAAGGCCCCACCTCCTACTACCATTACATTGGAGGTTAGGATTTTAACCTGTGAATTTTGGGAGGACACAAGCCTAAAAGTCCACAACATCACATGAAAACCTGGTGCATAGTGGGTGTTCAGTAAATGTTAGCCCTGCCCCTCCTTAAGGGCCAGTCCAGCTTTCTGGATCATACCTGAATGTATCTCAGGCCTCTGAGGTCAGCACCATGGACAGTTACCTGTTCCCTGTGATCTCCCATCTTTCTGCTTTTCCCCCTAGATAGTCTCACATTTGTGTCACAGTTGGCAATTTAAAACAAACAACAAGAAGAACACCTTTACATATGTTGCCCCTTTTCAATTTCACAGAAATCACATATGGGAGGATATTATTACTGCCATTTTCAGATTTAAAAATGGAGTTTTAGAGGATTGGAATGCTGTAAATATTGGTGAAATGTTTAATGATCTGGTAATTGCACACCCTGTGTGCCCAACAGAACTGAATGCTTATGTCCACCAAAGAGTGTACCCAGGAGTTTTCACAGAAACTTGATCACAGGCAAACCAAACATCCACGAATGAGATTACAGTTTAATAAACTATGGTATAGCTATGCAATGAATACAAGAGAGCAATCAAAAAGAATTATGTATAGGGCGCCTGGGTGGCTCAGTGGTTTAAGCCTCTGCCTTCGACTCAGGTCAGGATCTCAGGGTCCTGGGATCGAGTCCCACATTGGGCTCTCTGCTCGGTGGGGAGCCTGCTGCTGCTTCTCTCTCTGCCTGCCTCTCTGCCTACTTGTGATCTCTGTCAAATAAATAAATAAAATCTTAAAAAAAAAGATTTATGGGGGCTCCTGGGTGGCTCAGTTGGTTAAGCGACTGCCTTCAACTCAGGTCACGATCCTGGAACCCTGGGATCAAGTCCCACATCTGGCTCCCAGCTCCATGAGGAGTCTACTTCTCCCTCTGACCCTCTCCTCTGTCATTCTCTCTCTCACTCTCTATCAAATAAATAAATAAAATTTTAAAATAAATAAAATAAAAAATTAAAAAAAAAGAATTATGTATAGATATACGAAACAGCCCTTATGAATATCAGAAACATAATGTTGAGTGAAAAAAAAAATCAGAATAGAAGAATGCCCTCTGATTTTACTAGCCTGTATTTAAAACCAGCACTCATCTCTGGTGATTAAGGAAACAATTATGATTACCTCTGGGAGGTACTGATTGGGTGGGGGGCACAAGAAAACTTACTGGAGATGAAAATACACTACAGCATCACCTGGGTATGATCACACAGGTAACCAGCACATGTAACATTTATGGAGCACTGTACTTAAAGTGTGTGCACCTCAGAGTACAAAATTTGTATATCAACAGGAGGAGAGGGAGGAAGATGGGAGAAGAAAAGGAAAGAAAATGCAAACATTCAAAATATAAAACAAGATAATGAAAAAGAAAGGATGATCAGGTCGGGGAAGTAGTATGAAAGTATAGGAATGCTCAAGATATAGACAAAACTGTAGATCAAAAATAGCCTCAATTGATTCCCTCATCCATTCCTTTCTTTCTTCATTTTCATTCTGGACTCCTATTTCCCAGATGGAGCAGGTTTAAAAAAAAAAAACAACAACAAAAACTTTTTCTTTCTCCTAACCATTGTTTCTGAGGCTCAATTGTCATTGCTGCAGCCAGATCATATTTTTTTGCGCTACTGCAGGGAGGTAACCTTTTATTAATTGAATTTCTAATGGCAATTCATCAAAGCAAGCGATCACCATTATTTAATGCGTGATCCATATTCATGGCGTGTTCTGTTAGGTAAATAATAGTGGCTCCGGGAAAGTGCTTCTGTGAGGTCCTTTTCCTTCTCAAATGACTTTCTTTTTTCCTGAGTACAGACAAACGATTGTAATTTCAGAAGAACAAACCCCACCTGTGGAGGAGTCATTGGTTACAGGGAGGACAAGAAGAATTACAAACCCACAGAATCAGTGAGAATGAATGGTTTTGCCAGTTCCCTTTCTCTCTACAGATTGACAGTGAATATGTGAATAACGTTTGCTAAATCTGGACTTTGAAAACATGACAGCAAGCTGTTTGTGCCAATAATTTTTCATGGCATATGCCACCCCTCCCCGCACCACACACAGTTTTAATAAGATGGCACATGGACTATTGAGAAATGTTAAAACCCTGCAGAGGAAAGAGCTTTATCTTGTGACCAAATTCTGCCCAGCAATGTTTATGACAGCTGAAGAATTTATCTTAAATTCCCTCTGCTAGCCGCAAAGCACATGGCCCTTTGTCTCCGAGCAGCCTGTAAGAACCAAACTAAGATGTCACATACATAATATAACAGATAAATGGCCCAATTTCCATGTCCACATGATGAATGGAATGCAAGTTCAGCACACACATATTTGCACATTAATTGGCCCTGCATGGTTCCATTTTGTTCCTAAGTTGCTACTGTATGTCTCGTGGACTCCTTCCCCTTCAGAATCATTAAGCTTGTTTTATCGCACAAATGCATACACATTTCCCCCCTATTTATCGTCACGCAGCTTGCCCTGCTGAGAGAGAACCAAGTAACCTGGGCATAGCCATTGGATTGCAAATGCCTGCATCTGAGTTCTCTCCACCACCAACTGCACATTAACACAGAGATCTGAGACCCAGCCCCACAGTTGGTTATGCTGACAGCCAAACAAAGGAGGTTGCAGGCGAGGATGTTTGAAAAAAAATCATTTCTTTTCAGTTAGCAGTTGGTTTCTTGCCTCACCTTAATGATTTCCTGTTGATAGTTTAATGGCAATATAAACCCAGCGGAGGGCCTCAATTTTGATAAATTGGCCTGCTCCTATTTCATGGCAAAGGAATCGGACTGAGATTGATTGATACTATAGTTTTGCCATTCCAAATAATTGCAATGGCAAACAGTGCAGGTGGTAAAGCTCAGGGGCC